TTTCACTATAAAGGAAATAATATTTTAATTAAAAGAACTATTCTAATAGAGTAGAAAATTAATCAAAAACTAATTCCACCATGCAACATCTCTATTACAGCTGCCTGCAGAATGTATAATGTTTGAATAATAGCACCTAATATGACATTAGATTTTCTACAATGAAAAAGGGGTAGTAATAGTAAATAAATCCTTAAATACTAAAGAAATGCTTCTATGTGCTTCCATTGTTTTATTTACTGATGAGATACAAAGATGAATGAAAAAATTGAACTTACACTCAAGCATTATGTTTTATAAGTAAAGAAAGAAACATAGAAAACAGGTACATTACAGTATACTAAGGAAAGAAAGAGAAACATAAATGTAGTGTGGTTATTAAATACATAGTGGTGGGAGGRAAAAGTGGAGAAAAGTCAAAGAGGGTCTCACATGAGTAATTAAGCCAGAAAACAAAGAATGAACCAACGGAGAATGTRTGTGGATTCCTTAGAACCCATTAAAACGGGTTGGGGGTATGGCTCAGTAGTAGAGAGCTTTCCCAGCATGCTCCAGGCCCTGCAAAACCCCAGCACTGCAAAACTAGCAGATGAACGGACAAAACATCAAAAAGAAAAAAAATAAAGGAAAATTGTTACAAATTTAAGATAATTAATATTAGAAWTTTTTAAAACTAGGAACTTTAGATAACACTTTCTAACTTTTCTTATAAAAATTGGAACTAGATGGAATTTTAATATTAAAATCAAAACACTTTGTTTTCAAAGTTTTGAAGTGATGGAGGGTAAAACCAAAAATATTGACAATTTTAAGTAAATAAAAGTAAAAATAATTCTAAAACAACACTAGGAAACAAAGAAGCTACAGCATCTAGGGATAATATGTGTAAAATAATCCTTAGAAACAAAATGTGTATATAACATGAAAAGTTAATAAGTAAATGATCATAACTCTAATAGATAATTTTTTAAAAGGAGTATAATGAGGGACACTTAACAGAATATATAAACAGAAAAGAATACATGGCCAAATGTTCAAATGTTAATGAGTATCAATGAAATGCAAATTAAAAAAAATACTACAACTTTTTTTTTTTTTTACTTTTAAATTATCAAAAATAATAATGACATTACCTGAAGATGGTGAGACAATGAAGCAGTTGCTTCATGTGTGAGCTTGGCTTCAGAGTGTGCAAGTCAACCAGTCTTTTAATATTTAACCCAGAAATTCCACATTGACGGTATCCTGAAGAAATAATGCGAATGAAGATAGAAGCTGTACTTATTAAGATGTTCATTGTACAATTCACAATAGGGAAAATCGGAAACTAATAAAAATGCCCAACAAGAAGATATCAGTTTAAAAATTTAGATAGAGTGATCTAATTGTATAGGCATTAAAAGGACAAACAGGAAGGCAGATCTGAAGTGAAACCAAATGATCACGTGGGCACACACAAGTGCATAGGAAACAAGTGTACGTTTCCTGTGTGGCCCAGACCCAAATCGGACACGTGCTCAGGCCTGATGTCCTTGAGTTGGCCCCTGCCGGTCCACCAGGGCAGGTTCTGTTCATCTTTTCCCAACTATGGGTATGGGGATGTTTTATAGGTTTTATTTATTTWTTTTTCTGTTTATTTGCTAGTTGAAATTGACCATAGTGACAATATTTACACCTCGGAAATGGTAAGCTCTAGAAGTCATGGGGTTTTGTTTGTTTGCTTGTTATTTGTAGGGAGTCAGTTTACTAATTGTCCCTCACTGTTCTTATGTGGCTAACCACCCCCAAGGACAACCACCCTCCTGACTTCCAAGGCTGCAGATGAGTTTTGCCAATTCTGGGACTTTTCCTGCTCTGTTAGATCATGGATTTCTTAAAGTCAGAAACTGCATCTCATCCGCTTATCCTTTTTTTACACAGGGACTGACCCAGTGAGAGAATTTTATGCATGATCATTCGWGAGTTAGGTTGCTGTAAGATTTAGACAGTTCCTAATTTAAAACTAATCCCCAAGACAAACAATCCATCAGAAGATGGTTATTAGATGATATTTTAATCAAGTTATTAAATGATCTTCCCACCTCTCACCTTTTAAACGTGTATGAAGCCAGGAAGGATCTGGCTACTATACGTGTGCACATCCAGTCAGGTAATAGTTACTGCGTTGTTCGGGTGGYTTCTTTCAGTCATTTTTCTACCAACTGTCTTTCTCACCTCTTTTTTGGTGGGCCAGGCAGTGTGAAGGCAGCACAGACCTCCGATGGAAGCTTAGAGCTGGTCTGTGGTGTGTAGCCAGATGACTCTCAGAAAAGGAGACTTGGCTGCGGTGACAACATCATAGTAGTTGCAGTCCATCTCAGGAGACTCATGAAAAGTAGTTTACAAATTTGAAGAAGTTTTAGATAGAAATGTGCAGAATTTGGAGGTGTTCTGCAGCTCACAGAGTGAGTAAGGGTACTGCAAGAATTAGAAACAAGTGCCTAAACCAGGAGAGCAGGCCAGGCACTGAGAGATCTTAGCTTTCCTCTGGCCTGCCGCAGAGGTGTGCAAATCACTTCACTTCACCTGGCTTCAGTGTTGTGTATCTTGAGAAGAAGGGAGTAGGCCCACAAGCAGCCTCGCCCTTTCTGAAGTGCGTGAGATGCGGGTCACTCTGTTCTGGAGGCACTCATGACAGAGAGAAACACCCTCCCCTCTGTGCCAGGGGCACATCCACARAAAGGAGCGAAGGCAAAGTTGAGCTGGAGCTTACAGATGCCGGTCAGGACCATTCTGTCTTTGCATGCACACCCTTCTTTCCTTCAAAATTGCCAGCCTCTGTGGACAAATAGCCAGGGTGGCCCTTACCTTCTCCTCTCTTGATGCTCAAGATTTTTATCAAATATCAGCCTCGGTCCTACAACCACAGCTTTAAAAATATTAGACTGCCTTTTCTACAAAGTTTTATGAAAACCAAAGCCTGTGGAATCCYCTCACCCACGGCTGTCTTTAATGTATTTGTTTTCTTTACTTCCTCGGTAGACCTGTGGCTACTAAGTGGGCCATATGAACCATGCTGTAGAGAAAATGTGTTGGATGTGAAGGATTTCCCAACAAATGCAAAGGTGACTTTCCAGTGTAAGAAGCAAACTGAATTGCCAGACGCACCCAGGATGCACATTACCTGAAAACCACCCACCTATTAGGGCAGATGGCTCCTGAAAAAAGATGACCTGTAATTACCCACAGATGGTTTTAAAATACAGAGCCTATCTCAAATCTAGCTTCCCAGGCACAAAATTGGAAATTCAAAGCAAGTACACATTTGGTAGAAAGAATTGAAGGATAAAAATAGACGAAACTGAACAAGGAGGGAAAATGTGACTAGGTGTGGGGGTATGTAGGACCAGCTTATCCTAAGTTGAGGGCAGGTATTGTAGCCATAGTGGATATAGTAGGAAGAGGAGTTCGTTTGGGATTAAGTATATATGTGATCTGATTCTTCAGTTTTCTCGTCTTGTCAAAGGGGAGCTATAATATCCACCCTGCAGAAATGTAGGGTTAAAGCTAATGTATGTAAACTATTCAGATCATATCAGGTATAAATTCAAAAAAAAAGTTGTCTAAGATTATGTTTTTAAATTAGAATTTATTGGTTATAAAAACGTATATTAAACTGGAAAAATGTTAAAGTCAAAGTGCACTGTTCAGCTCAGTAAACTAACTTATTTCATGCTTACTGTGTGGCACATGCCTAATGACAAGACTGCAAATAAAGGGGCATATGTTTTCATCTTGGAAATATGCACTCTCCATAAGCAAAGAGACCAAAGAAAAGACATTTAATTCACAAGCCACAGGTCCAAGGTAAGATCTCCAGGGGACTTTCTTGCTACTTCTAGAGTAGCTTGGGGTCAGGGACCAGAAATCTATTCTTAGGAAAGTCACTCTCTTGAAAAGGATGTTGAAAGAATTAACTTCTATACACTCATGACCTTTGAAGATCTGTTTCCCCTTGAACAATATTAATGACTGCTCAAGTGCCTCCAGTTCTGGAGGCTGGATATGCAATGAGTCAATGGAGGTAAGAATGCTGGCCAGGGTCATGACCCAGGACTGTTTGCTGGGCAAATCCACAGGCACAGACCACTGAGGGGAGAAGGCAAAAGACTTAAGCAGAAACAGGCACAGCCTGTGGAGGAAGAGGAGGAGGTAGCACGGGGTTTTCTTGGCTGCTGATTTGATGGTGGGGAATGGCAACCTTTGACCATACTGTACCTGAATAAAGGAGGCTCCCCAAMGAAATGAGTAGCATTGTTGTGTCACCAAAAGATCTGTTTAAGTCCTAATCTCTGCAGCTGTGAGTGTGAACTTAATAAAACAGGGTCATGGAGGACTAAATTAAATGAGGCTATACTGATTTAGGCCTCTAATCCAATGACTGGTGTCTATAAAGGGGAAATTTGGGCACACACTCACTCACTCTCACACACACACACACATATAGTCATGGGCATCATGTGCAGATGGAGGCAGAGATTGGAGTGATGTGTCTATAAGCCAAGAAATGTCAAGATTGCTGGCAGCCACCAGAAGCTGGAAGAGAAGATGTTCCCTGAGAGCCTCCAGAAAGAACTGATTCTGCCAACACCTTGATTTTGGACATCTATCTGCCGGAACTGCAGGAGAATAAACTCGTGCTGTTTAAGGCACTCAGTTTGTGGTAACTTGTAAGGCAGCTCTGGGAAACTAATTCATACCTCTCAACAAAAATAGATTTCTTTCTCTATGGATACAATACTGGCACCATTGTTTGGATATATAATGATGGGTGACCTTAGTTTTGGTTTATTAATTATTTATTAATTATTAATCACATATTGAATAATTGTCTATGATTTTATCTTGAGTATTAAAAATAAGAATGATTTGTTTGTCGATTTGCCTGTGTTCTCCAATCACCACTTTTTTTTTCTCTCTCTCTCTCTCTTTTTTTGTTTTAGGCAGTTGTCAGTTTTACAATGGAGTCTCTGATTGAAGCAAATACCAAATTTTCCTTGGATCTTTTCCGAGAGATAACCAAAGATGAGAGTCCAAAAAATATCTTTTACTCTCCTCTGAGCCTCTCAGCTGCCCTGGGCATGGTCCGCCTGGGGGCTAGAAATGACAGTGCTCGTCAGATTGATGAGGTGTGTATCCATGAAGGTGCTGCATGGGGTCCTGGACTCCGGGTGCACATTCAAAGTCAGATGCTGATCCTCTGCTGAGCTGACCCACTGCACAGTGGTCTTGCTTGAGTCCTTACCTTCTCTTCAGTTCTACCCGTCTTCAAGGTTCTAACTCCATCTCCTTACGGAGCCTCCCCTGCAGACAGCTTTTCCCACTCATCTTCTTTGTCTCTATCTCTGTCTACAAGTCTGTCTCTCTATAATTATCGGTAACAGTATTAGCTGGTGATTTTTAATATGCGTGCTTTCTCTCTTGCTTATCCCATTAACTAAATATGTATTAAGCACCAGGTGTTTGTCCAGTAGCTCACGTTATCAGTGTCCTCCTTAACCTTCTTTCTCTCTCTCACTTCACACCATGTGGGTCAAAAGATTCTGTTGGCTTTTCTTTCCAAATATAACCAGAATCCAGATGCTTCTTGCCATCTCCCGGAGGCCTGAACCTCACCATCTCTTCTAACATGGCACTATGGACAGTCTCCTGAAGCTGTTCCCATGGGCCATCTCTTCTCAACACAGCAGCCCGAGAGCCTTTTAAGTCCCTAAATGCTATCCTGGACTGAGGGAACATTCAGTTACTTCCTCTGCATTCAACCCCAGATCTAAGGAAAGAAGCCTTCATTTCTGTGAATGATGGTTGATTATTTCGTTCGACTGCATAATCATTGTTACTTGTCACATTATAAAAATGTGACTGAAACTCTCTCTTGGTGCTTCCTCCTGTTCATATTGTCTGAAAGACCCTCCCCCGTCATCACGCAGGTACTACACTTCAATGAACTTTCCCAGAGTGAGAGCAAAGAACCTGACCCCTGTTTGAAAAGCAAAAAAGCCGTAGAGGTTGACAGTTCTCTGGAAGGGCAGAAAGAAACCACGGAGCCTCTGGATGTGCAGGTGAGCTGCCGCCCTGAACTCCTGCCCTCTTCTTTGCAGACTGCTGGTTCTCCACTGCAACTGGAGAGGGTTACTCATCCCCAGACATGAGTCCTGGCTGCCGGGAACAGCAATAACCTCATGTGACCTATGATTCCTTTGTAATTAGGCTTTTTATACATCCTTGGCCCTGAGTTAGCTTCTTAATGAGTAAGACCTGGTATCTTCTGCTCAGGATTAAAAAATAAAAAGTCACTTAGCCCATGTCCCCATTACCCACCTGCCTCCGCAGACCACAGGCTCCCAGGATGGAGTATGGCTGAAGGTGAAGGGGAGCCAGGGGTCAAGGTGCGGTGGCATCTGCCTCCCTCCACCTCTGCAGCTCTGTTTGGTGCTGAGAGATGCCCTGACACACAACGCTGCCGTGTGCAGCTCAGCCCAGGGGTAGGAAGGACATTCTCCAGGCTCTCCCTACCTCGAAATTTAGGAGGTGGAAGACAATTGGATTTTTTTGTGTCCTTTTGAATACTGAGGAAGCCAGGGTGCCCCTGTGCATCGCTGGGTCCTAGACACACTTTTCCTGAGTGATGTCTCCACTGTGGGAGCCAGGGTTTCCCAGGGACCCCTCTCACCTCCTTTCTCTCTTCTTCACCTCAGAGAACACCCAGCAACTCTGACTGGTCTCTGTGACAATACCCGTCCTTCAGGGGTGTCCAGCTCTCCTGATAGTCCCGTTTGAGGTCGTGTTTTGTCTCTTCTTTGGTTAGGCCAAGTCCTCCAGTGATAAGAACGAGCTGCTCAGCTGCTACTTCGGAAATCTTCTCTCCAAGTTAGGCAGGGTCAAAGTTCACTACACCATGAGCATGGCCAACAGGCTCTATGGAGAGCAGGAATACCCCATCTGCCCGGTGAGTAGAGCGTGCCGGGGACGAAAGCCATCACAGAGTGTGCTGCTTGAAAAGCAAGAAGCTGGATAGTTCACCTGCCACCGGGCACACAGAGCTCTTTCATGGGAGGATGTGCTGTGGACTGGTGGGTGTCCAGGGCCACCGCCTCCTGTCCCACACCCACCTCTCAACTCAAGTTTACAAGGTCTGTTGTAAGTGCGCAGAGTGGGTGGCCAAAGGGTCATGTGCACAGCCGCCTCGGGAGTGTGCGTGGGCTTGGTAATGACATTCTAGTGACCTTCTTTCCCAATCCAGGGGCCTGGTAGATTTGGGCTGCCTTCAAGGCACTTCTCTAGAGTCCCCTTTGGTGCCATGATCAGGCGGCCCCAGTGGAAGTGACGTTCTGGGAGCCAGAGCCGTAGATCTGGTCTCTGTGACTCAGCAGCTTCTACCTGGCAGAATGCATCTCAACTCGGGCTCTGGTCGCCCTCCAGTCTCCAGGAGGAGCCACATACTAAGCACAGACAAGAGGGGTGTGACCGGTGGCACATATGTGTCACAACTGTTTAGAGCTGGACTATAGAGGGAAGGAGAGAGCCTACTTTTGACCAAAATAAGTGCCTTCTTTTACAGTGGGAATGACCGGTTATTCCTTAAAAAATAAATTTTGGGGATATAAATTCAGATATGATACAATTCATCTATTAAAAGTATACAAATCAACAGTTTTGGTATATTACATTGTTCATGTAAAAATTACAGTAAAAATACACGTAGCACAAAATTTGCCATTTTAACCATTTTCAAGTGCACCATTCAGTGGCCTTAGTTCCATTCAGTGTTGTGTAGCCATTACCCTATAGAGTTGGGAAACTTTCTTATTGTCCCAAATGAAAACTCTGTGGGCATTAAGGAGGACTTTAATTCTTAAAAACTGAAGCATGTTTTAGCTAAGTCTCTTAAGTTACTGTATATTTACTTTGTGATGTCTCCACATGTGGATTGTTCAGATAAAACACTGTCTGGCAGGAAAGCCGTCTGCCATTGTAACTTCAGACAGCTTCATGAGCGTTGTGTCCTGTTCTGCCATGGTGGCTAGCCAGGACTGGGGTAGAGAGAGCCCGACAGGCCTGCTCACCCAGCGTTAGGTGACCAGGAGGACATCTTTCCCCTTAGGCTTCCCGTGACTGCCTCGCTCTAAACTTGTGCATCTCCACATGATTTTRTTGTGCTCTTTCCCCTCTATTCCTCTAAGCACAGGAGTACTTAGATGGTGTGATTCAATTTTACCACACGACGATCGAAAGTGTTGATTTCCGGAAAGACACTGAACAGTCCAGACAAAAGATCAACTTCTGGGTTGAATCTCAATGCCAAGGTAAGGAGGACCAAACGCAACGTAGCTGCTATTCCTTTCCGTTTCAGAGAAGACTCATGGGCAAGCCCAGCTTTTCAGATTGCTGGTCTTTTGGGGACAGATGCTCACATTTGTGGACTGTGTTCAAAACTTGTTTGGAATGAGCATCAAATGTTTCAAATGCTTAGATATTTTGGTTACTTATTATTGCTCTTTCGTTTGAACATAAAGATGAAATGCCTGTCAACCAAGCCCAGGGCTGGCAGGAGGTTAACTCTTTCCATGAATTTTAAAGGGTTAGTAAAAAGTTAAGATTATGAAGTTATTCAGAAGGACATGGAAATAATAAAACTTTTATACTTATCAACTTTTCACGATGTGTAAAAATGTTTCCTGAGTGAAGGAGAATGTAGAGACAGTGGCAAGTGTGACACTTTGAGGCCCGTGTAAATGGCAGCCAAATGGAGGTCTTTAAATGGAAGAGAGTCTGTAGGAATGTAGAGCGTCTAAATTGGCCATTCCTCCCAGTCATGTTTAAAATAGGCCCCAGTGTTCTCACTCTCAAACCCACGTATCAACCACACTCTCCTGGACGCCACGTGTATGAAGTACCCATCATGGACCCTCCCCACCAAGGACACTTATCTACTATGTCCTGCTCTTTTAACTGTTTTCCTTACAAATTTTCTTAAAGTCACTCAGATATGTGGCTATTCCAAGAAGCACATAAACCATGCTGCTTTGGAGTAATATCTTTCTTTGTGAAATACTTATACTTTTCTTGAGTAAGAGGGCCTTCATTCTAGAGATACTTGCATTAGAAACAAAACAAAATGAAACTATGTCTGAAAGCAGCTAAATTAGTCATGGTCATGGTGTTGACCACCATGCTGGTTCTCAGTGGCTGTGGCAGTAGAAAGACAGGGTAGACACTGGAAGGTCTCTTGCTTCCTTAAAACCCATGATTCTCTAAAATGATGTTTCTTTAGTAAGTAGAACCATTGTCTCATATTCTGAATCAGTTCTACAGGCTCTCATTATTATTATTATTATTATTATTATTATTATTATTATTTTGATGCTTCTACTGCTTTATTATGGAGTTTCCCTCTGCTGGTAATTATGGGTCTCTAGCATTTTTGAAATCATACCAGTGTCCTCAGCACTGAATGTTCACTTACCCATAATCTTCCCCGTAAGGTATCCATTGAGATAGAAGTTCATCTGTTATATTAGCATTACTGAGAGCTCCATTTCTTAGACTTAAAACATCACATAACAAAAATAATATGGCACACTTAAAAGTATTCTTTGAGCTATTGAGTATTTCAAAGTTACAGCAATGGTTGTGGTGTCTAATATTTACTTATAATTAATATATAAGTTTGCATTGACTTAATAAGGATCCACCCAAGCATGGAACTTTTCAGGATTTTGTTTGTTTGTTTTGTTTTACATGATGAACTAAGAGTAAAGGAGAGCTAGAAAGGGTTTAAGGCAGGGGTGTGTTTTTAAAAGATGACTCTGATTGTGGAATGGAGATCAGATCAGAAGTGGACAAGGAGATGTGAATGTAGATGGTCAGGGCACCAAGACAGAAGAAAAGTTGCTGGTGGCTGGGACCAGTTGGTGGCAGAGGAGGTGGCAAGAGGAGGATGGATTGGAGAAGTACTATGAGGTGGATCAGAAGGATTTTTATCAACCTCTTAGGGAGGTGAAGGATTGTTTGGTAAGAGCTAGAGAGTGACTCATAATGCTCTTATCTGAACATTTTAATATACCCAAATGAAGAAATTGCCTATCTGCCACCCTATTCATGTGTCCTATAACATGTGTCCAATATTTTAATGAAAATTTTCAAAAAAAATTAAGGATTTTACTATAGGGAAATATGCCCTATCCATGATCTCGTTTTTTAAAAATTGTTTCTAAGGGCATCATGGAATGTAATCTGTACGTGTAATTCTATCTGTAATCCCAGTCACTTGGGAGGCTGAGGCAGGAAGTATGCAAGTTCAAGGTCACCCTTAGCAACCCAGCAAGACCCTGTCTCAAAATAAAAATTAAAAAGGGGGCTGGGGATGTGGCTCAAGCAGTAGCGCGCTCGCCTGGCATGTGTGCRGCCCGGGTTCGATCCTCAGCACCACATACAAAGATGTTGTGTCCGCCGATAACTGAAAAATAAATATTAAAATTCTCTCTCTCTCCTCTCTCTCTCCCTCTCTCACTCTCTCTTTAAAAAAAAAATAAATAAATAAACCTGTCATGTGATTCTTTAAAAAAAAAAAAATTAAAAAGGACTGAAGTTGTGCCTTAGTAGTAAAACACCCTTGGATTTAATACCCAGTACCCCCTCAAAATGATAAAATATTCATGAACAATTTATGTCCTTAGGTTTGAGGTCTTATTTATTGTAGTCATTACTATTTAAAGATTAGTTTTGTTCATAATACGTATATATGTTTGCTGGATTGATTTAGCTATTCTGTAATGCCTACATATTTTAAAATGTTATATGGTACATGATAAATATGTACAATTATTAATCACCAATTAAAAAGTTCACTTCATTGTGAACTTGCTTCTGGACTCAGCCAGCATTGAGAGGACTTAACTTCTCCAGGTCTTTTTTCCTATTTCTTGGTTACTTACAGTGGTCTTGTCTCTCCACTCCATTTCCTCCTAGATAAGGAACTCAACCCCTCAGGCCAAAAGGGCTTTAGCACACAGGGCCCAGGCAAACTGCTGAACGCAGACCAGGGCATTTTTTTGCTTGCCCATGTGGGGGTTGAGGAAAATATTCATATACCTGAGATAAAGGTAGAGGGCTACTTCTGCCTCCACAGTAAGATGGTAACCCTGGGCATCTGCTCACATTCTTAGTGACCGCAGCCTGGGAACAGCAGTGGACTTACTTCAGTTGTCTTTGTTACCTGGTGCAATGCCCTGTGCCCCTCTCTTCCATCAGCAGGCTTCTGCTTCCTGTCTCCAGTCTTCCTCACGCAGCCCCAGGCCCAGCTTACCTCTGGTAATTTCTCAGGGATTTAAGTCCCGGGCTTCCTGAGGTAAAGGGTCTTCCCTTCTCAAACCTCAGCCTGTGTTCTAGTAAGTGGCCATTTGGTACATCGGGGTGGAAAGGTGCACCCCGGGCTGGGGGGGGGGCTGCTCCTGACAGCATGGGGCTTTCCTAGTCATCCCYAGGGCTGTGTACTGTGGGTCAATAGAGGGAAGAGGTCAGGGCTGAGCCTAGGTGGCCTTGCAGCTTCTTGGCTGCTGGGCATCACCTCTCATTGCCGCAGTCTGTGTTCCATAAAGAAGAGATAACGGTACCTGCCTCTCCTGGCTTATGTGGGGTGAACTGAAAGAAGGCTTGTGAAAGTCCCCACAAAAGAGGCTTTGTATCAAGGCCTAGTATGTTTTTGTGTGTATTTGTTTGGGTGTAACCGTATATACTGCACCTTGAGGAGAGCTTGAAAGAGGCAGTTAATACCATAGCTGTTTTCTCAAGGAGACTCCAAAATAGTCAGGTGGTCGGATCTCTAACTTGAAAGGTAAACCATGGTATTAGCTACCTGATGACAATTCCAATTAAAAGTGGAGTGGAGAGTTGGAGGAGAGTCCCTTAGTTCCAGTGTCTGATTGGATCCTCCTTCAGGCCAGAGTGGGGGTTCCTCTTCTCCTCACCCCCCTTTACCTGCACTGCTTCTCCACCTGCAGCTCCCTCACTTTGTTTTCTTGTCAACTCTTGAACCAGACACTCTAACTCTGGGGATGTTAAGATGCATTAAAAAATCCTTGTCTCGATGAAGACTTATGACATAATTCACACTCAGGATATTCTCCGGCGCATCTCTATTAGGTAAAATCAAGGAACTCTTCAGCAAGGACACCATCAATGACAAGACTGTGCTGGTGTTGGTGAACGCCGTGTACTTCAAGGCCAAATGGGAACAACATTTTGACTGTGACAACACAGTTGATGAACCTTTCTTTCTGAATGAGGTACTTGTACGACAGCCTGTAGACTTTTAGATATTCCATTCTTGATTTCCCCTGACAATGGTTTGCAGTATGTGGTCCCCTAACAATGGTTTGCAGGTCTAGGAGTTGCAGCTCACATTTACCATCCTAGCACTCAGGGCTGAGCCAAAGTCAGCACCTGAAGTCCCTTGAGCATTCTGTGCCAGGTGCTGCACTGTCTGCTTTCTGTTCATCATTTCATCTGTCCTCCAAAATGACGTTACGAAGTGGATGCTACTATTACAATGTAGGGGTTGAAGGAAAAATGCAAAGGCCAAGTTACTCAGTCATGCATTAGGAGTTACTTCTGTGTTTACCCCCAAACCCATGTTCTAAGCCACTGGGATGAGACGAGGCAGCCAGCCACCGATTAGCTGTTTTGCTTTGTTATCGGGGACAGTTTTTTCCCCTCTATGTCCTAGATTGCTGACTTCCCCAACTCAAGGTTATTGAAGGCTTGGGTGCTCTGGGTAGTGCCCTTTTCCTCTGARGGGAACTATGAACCTGGGGCTGTTATTTAATATGTGAGTGATTACCATTTAGCCATGGGTCCTCTGGGTGCTGTGGAGGGGTTGACCARGCCAGAGGGGACGGTGGCACGAGACCAAGGGGCTGGGCTGGAGCAGGCCTAGGAGATGGGGAGCTTGCTGGGCTTGCTTTGGCTGACGAGGCTGTGGGAGGTGTCTGGATAGGAAGCCTACCCACAAAAGTCTTGAGAACTGATTAAAAACACAGGAAGATCTCGTTGGACAGAGGCTCTCCTAGGAGGGCTTGCTGCCATGGTTGGGACTTCTGGAACAGACTCTTCTCATCTTGAAGAAGCCCTGTTCTCAGGGAAGTTGGGACCATGGGGTGTGTGAGCTCACATGGCCAACAGTGACTTCCTGCCTCGTCACCCACAGAATGAAGAGAAGACTGTAAAGATGATGAAGCAGAAGGGCACGTTTAGAATCGGCTTCATAGAGGAGCTGCAGGCACAGATCCTGGAGATGAAGTACACCACGGGGAAGGTCAGCATGTTCGTCCTGCTGCCACCTTGCTCCGCAGACAACGTGAAGGGCCTGAAAGAGGTGAGTCTGCATTTCATGTCTGTACTGAGTTCACCTGCAGATCCTTGGAGAACAATACAATTATTATCCACCAACCTGAGAAAGAATGGTATCTTAGCTATCAGAGATATTGAAGACTTACAACGATTTGAATTAGATTAGATATCTTTTCTTATTTGTTTAAGCCAAAAGAATGCACACGGAAACTATTGAAATAGAAGTGTCATCTCTTAAATCGTAGCCTTCTGCCATCATTTTTCCCAACCAAGGAATCTGAGTGCTGAGTCACTTGAGAATTACAAATGAAATAGCTTTCCGTTTTTCCCTGCGTATGCTGACTTCTGGTCTCTTCCTTAGACTACTTTGCTGTAGTTCAACTAAAGACTCTCTAACTGCATTGTGTTTTTGGATGCAAACACTTTGACAAAAATACTTTAAGGAAGGAATTAATGCAGGATGGGGAGGCTACCCTGGGGTAAAAAGATAGATGAGGGAAAAGGTGAGAGAGAAATACCACTGTAGTAATCACAATAACAGTAACAACGATTATTCAAAATTTACTATGTGCCAGCACTTTGTTAAATACTTCACACATGTTATTTTGCTCAATCCTTGAGAGAGCATAAACGTCTTATCTCTGTTTTATAGAAGAGGAAATTTAACTTTGAAATGTTAGGGCTTGCTCAGGCTCGCCCAGCTGAGCTTTGCTGGTCTTTGAACATGAGTCTGTCCGGCACCAGAGCACAGTGGAACCCAAATTGTCCTGTAACTTTTAGACAGGAAAGAGGTTTCCTTGGAGGAGTTTTAAATGAAATCAGAGACCATTTGAGGGTTATAGAAAGACCTTGAAGTGTGTCTATAACTGACTGTCAAATGGTCTTAGGAACTTTGAAGTATTTGGGGTATTCTTTGCAGGTTTATAGGCTGATCCTTAATGTTGTTTTCTTACTCTTGTAGCTTGAAAGGAAAATAAGTTATGAAAAACTCAGGGCCTGGACTAGCTCAGAAAACATGTCAGAAGCAAAAGTAGCCATCTCCTTCCCCCAGTTCACCCTGGAAGACAGCTACGACCTCAACTCCATTCTGCAAGACATGGGTATCACGGATATCTTTGATGAGACGAAGGCTGACCTCTCGGGAATCTCTCCCAGCACCAATCTGTACTTGTCCAAGATTGTGCACAAGACCTTCGTGGAGGTGGATGAAAATGGCACCCAGGCTGCTGCAGCCAGCGGGGCGGTTGGCGTGGAAAAGTCACTGCCGTCCTGGGTGGAGTTCAACRCCAACAGGCCTTTTCTCTTTTTCATCAGACACAACAAAACCCAGACCATTCTTTTTTGTGGCAGGGTCTGCAGTCCTTGAAGGGACCCACTGTCCAGCACTGGGGTGTGGGAGGAAAGTGGCAGTGGTCTATCCAGAGCTGACTGCATCCTGCTCCAGCCCCGAGCTGCCTCCTCCAGCCATCAGCCGGAGTTTGTCCTGATCTTTTTCACCCTGAAGCTGATTTTCATCTGTCAGTTTCTAATGAAGGGCCCTTGCTGCCTCCCTCTCCCCTTCTACCTGCGACTTTCAAGCATATAAATTCACCCTCTGTGACCTGATCAATGCAGTTTTGAATGGTATTGATTTTATGTAAGATACCTATCTCCTTATGCAGGAATTCTGAAAGCTCATTGACAGAGTACCTTTCAGAGATGGAAAACTCAGAAGCCACTTCAACATGGGGGTAGCAAGAGTAAACGTTTGGAATGTGTTTGGGAAACTCAGCTCTGTTCTAGGGCAGTTATGGTCCTGGCCCTTGCTGGGCCAGAGGCCCTGCCTCCTCCTCTTACTTCTTCCACTTCATGGAAGATGTCCTGGAAGGTCTTTTCACTTGGGAGAAAATAGCATCTGGGGGTGTATTTAAACCGTAGCTCAAGGATGTGGGGATCCCCAGCCAGCACTCACTCTGCATACAGTGGGAGAATATTTGTGTTGTGATTTTGACACTGACCCAGGAAAGTGATAAGAGGATTTTAAAAAGTTTGGTCTCAGTTTTTCTTATCAAAACTGCTAGAGTATCATGAAGCACTTCCCCTGTCTCTTCCTCGTGCCCTTCCTTAGAGAATTCCCATCTGTAGTTCATTGCTGCCAAATGCCCAGTGTGCTGTAGTGGGCAGCTGGGCTCCCCACTCCCTGCTCTCTGGCAGCAGGGACCTATTTGCCCTTCCAGGGGCCCTTATGCCTGGTGATGCTACTGGTAGGAACAGTCCTGTGCCTGGGCTGATGCAGGTGGAGTCCTTCCCAGGACGTCTGCTGGCTTCACACTGAGCTCTAGGTCACTGGAAGTATAACACCTGAGTGTGCAGACCCCAGACCCCCCAGCTCTGTTCTCCTGAAGAGCTCTCTGAGTTCATGATATCCCTTAGCGAAAGGCCCTGAATGACCACTGCCACGTCCAACTCTAGGGATTTGTCAGTCTCTTTTGTGATTTGGGTTGTGGTCCAGTTTTACTGCCATGCCTGTGACTCTCCTGCTCCCATCTGTCTCTGTGCTGGTTAAGGGTGGCTGTGGCAGTTAACTTAGGAGTAGGAAGGTCACCTTTACATGACCCGATGTGGCCTCCTCCCCATCCCTTGGGACTTCTTTGTGCTCTGAGAGACAAACTCCATTCTCTCCCTGCAGCCTTCTCTTTGTGGAAACTTATGGATGGAGTAGAACAATCTGTCACTGGTGATGTGGGGCAGTGTGTGCTTTTCTTGTACTAGCAAGATGGACCTTGCAATATGGCAGCTGGAGGCAGAAAGAGCACCAAGTCAGTAGGTTGCTGTGATTGCTAGAAAACCCACTAGATGAAAATCATGAGGAGGATGAACTCCTCTGCTTTTCAGTTCAAGGTCCCCTCCGTCCAGCAATGTTGACTGATAAAACAAACAAGGTAATGAAGATGACAAAACAATCGCTTTCTTATTGCTATGACTATTCTGGTAAGGGGACCATGGGTGGATAGGCCCCCACAGGCCCAGTGACGCTGTGCCAACAGACCAGAATCCCTAAAATCCCAGTAAACAGACTCTGTGTTCTCTTTTATCTTGACCCAAGTCCTCCTTATGATTTCCTAAACTGTTAAATAAATATTCTCCCCTCAAACTCCTCCCCACTTTTTTCCTTGAGCTGGGGCAAGCCAGAACATGTTGCTTCATTCCTAATTGCTRTTTACTTCTTTAGCATGCATGGCATCTTCAAAATCACAACATCATTAACACGAAACAGAGGTCCAACTGGGGCAGCAGAACGAGGAATCTGTGCAGCTGTCTCAGTGGATTCTTTGCTCCATGAAGAATGAAGATGAACTCCACGTGAATTCTTCATCCTCATTCTTCATGTTAAGCTTTTGGTTCCCCAAGTCCATTTTCTTATCCTAGTCTTTGCACTCAATCGAAATAATCCAAATCTTTTTCTTCTTACTCAATAAAAATAACAAAATAAATTCCCATACATGCATATTTCTAACTGAGGATATTAAATCTATAGACTTAATTTGCAAGTTGTCACATTCTAATACAACAGGTTTTCCTTCTAAGTAATGTTATCTATCATGTGCATCAAAGTTTTAGCTACAGACCGGTGAAAAAGATTTCAAAAGCATTCAGATGAACAACAGTGGTGTTGAGAGAAATCCATACACCCATCATTGACACACAGACATTATGAGTAGATCATCTCATAATCCAGGTGAAAAATATGGGGAAAAATATAGGATTATGAAAAAAAATTGTGGTAAGAAAAAATACATCATGATATAGACACAAAAAGGAGACTTCATAAGAATGATTTATAGCAAGAAGCAGAATAAAATTTTAGAACACTTTTTGGCGTGCTTAATAGTATTTCAATAGACCAGGCATCTAGGGGATTAGATTAGATAAATGCTCTTGAAATATTAGAAGACTGCCAGGGGAATCAAAAACACAAGAAGAATTTAAATAGGGTTTAAAGGCAGTCAAGGAGCGAAACCGGCTCACTGGAAAATTTAGTGATGAATAGGGCACATTCGAGTTCTTAGAACGTGCAAGAAATAACAGGAGGGAAGTTGGTAGACACAGAGAAAGAATAGAAAGTAAACCCAAGAATTATGGTGTTTCTGAGGAAGAAAGCAGATTACTGGCATGGATTCAATAATCAAAGACATAATGTAAGAAAACCTTCTTGGTTGTCTGATTACACCTATTGATTTCCAAGAAAAGTAATAAAAAAATGGACATGCCAAGAAAATTGTAAAACAAATGATTGAGAAAATAATCCTATCAGTACCTAAGGAGAAAAGAAAATAGTTTATGTGTAAGGATAAAAAAAAAAAAGCAGATAGAACTTAAACACTTTTTTTGTTTTTGTTTTTGATTAAGTTTCTGAACACAATGAAACCTAGTATGAAGGGAAAATACATGATTAAACAATTTCACATTGTGACCAAAAATACAAAAGAAAATTGTTTTCAGACATACTTTTGTGTGTGAGTGTTGTTATGTTTAAATTCCCAATACCTGGCACCATGCTGGAAACATCACAGAAACTAAAATTAAATGCATGTTGCTTTGAGTGAATCTAATACAGCCAAGACTCAAAAATCCAGCATTGAAATCCCTTCAGTAAAAATATGACCTCAGTTTATAATCAAAGTAAAAAAAGATAAATTTCTTATTTAAAATTCTCACTATGCTTAAAAATTTTTGGCAGCGGTAACTCTTTCTGTTAGCACTGATTTCCTTCCTTCCTTCCTTCCTTCCTTCCTTCCTTCCTTCCTTCCTTCCTTCCTTCCTTCCTTCCTTCCTTTCTTTCTTTCTTTCTTTCTTTCTTTCTTTCTTTCTTTCTTTCTTTCTTTCTTTCTTTCATGTTGGATCCAGGCATGGAATGAGTTTCAATACTCTGAATAAAACTCCAGCCATGAAATCTCTGAGTTGGAACAGTGGTAACACCTAATGCTATGGTCTTGTTGAGTGCCAAAATTGGTCAAAGACCTTCATAGGCAATAACACATTTAATCCTCTCAGTTATCCTGAGGAGTAAGTTTTTATTATTGTTCACAGTGAACAGATGATAAGTAATTGCCTTAAAGTCACACAGGAAGCAAATAGTTAACCCTGGATTTGAACCAGGCAGGCTGTCTAGCTGGATGTCTTACAGTTGAGAGATAACCACTACTTTATCTTTCCCAATAGATGTAAAGAACACAAAGGATTATTTGCTTCCATTTTTTTTTAATTCTACATATGTGAACTGTGAAGGCTAAAAACTTATTCAAGCTAAAGTTCTGGGTGGTGGAGTAGAGTCTAGAGAATGCTGGTTCTTAAAGATTGTGGATAGAGGACGCGGGAAGCTGCTGTTTATAAGGTAGCAATAGCAGCAGCCAGGCAATATCAAAGAGAAGTTTCCATGCAAAATTTGAAGCCATTGGTCCATTTGTCTAAGAGCACACCCAGTCCCTCCCATTCCCAAACTGTGAAGGCCAGCCATGGAAAACCCCTAAAGTGCATGCACTGGCCCCCTGATGAGGAGATTGAATGAAAAAGTAAGCCTGTCACATAGACCTTCCAAATGTGTAAAGAATACAACATAGTGAGGAAATCAACCTCAACTGAGTTACTAGGTCAAACAAGAGACTTTAAACATGTAAATCATAAGATTAATAACATTCATAAAATAAGGCCAGGGAATTAAGAGATTCATTTATAGTTTCTGGGATTAACTTAGTTATTACAAATGATCAGTAAATAGACTATCAGAGTGCACACAGCTGAGGGTCAGCTGGAAGATTGAGTTTTGGAGTTCTAGGGAAAAAAACATAATAAAAAGGCAAAGCAATAGAAAGTACTTAAAAAGGTTAGGAGCCATTTGAGGTAGTATATGAAGTTCCAACATTCATTAATGGACATTTCAGGGATAAAAACAGAAAGAATTGAGGGAATGAAGTTCCTTAATATGTACGAAATTAAAAATAACCATACTTCCATCCTGGCAAAATTATAGAGGATCAAAGAAAAAAGAAAGTATTCTAAAAGCATCTTGAGTTACAAGAAATAGAATTTATAAAATGGAATGAGAATCAGATTGAGCTCAGGTTTCTCTTTGGTCCTTCAAGAAGAAAGAACCTTATTTTAAAGTTCTGAGGAAAACAGGAAAGTCAACTGTCTTGCCCATACAAGTTGTGGGTATTCAAGTGTGAGAGCAACTTGCATGAACAAGGACTTCAAGTTTCCTACCTGTCACCTTTAACCTAAAGGAATGTCTGGAAGTTCCAGTCCAAAAAATCTAAAAATGAACTGGTGAAGAAAATCTGGGATATGGCTAGCAATGATGGAGAGAGAGAGAGAGAGAGAGAGAGA